TGAGGGTCCCCCAAACTGCTTTTCCCAGCTGATGGTCATCTCCACCAACCAATGCTGCTGCAGAGAACCTGGTCAGCCGCTTCATTACCGATAGCCAAGGCAGCTACGCTAACCTGGTATTTTGTGTTTTATTTGCACGACGTGCACAGGTTCAGCCCCACTTCCAGCTTTTCTCGTAGGTCCTGCAGCACCGTTGCTCGTCCATATGAGGAAATAACCAGAGGGCCACGGCAGTACGTGGACAAACAGGAGACAATGTTCCAGCTATGACCTTGTGAGAGTGTCAAGCACAAGGGGAGCTTCACACCTCTCAGGCAAACTCTTCACACAGCCCGATGTGACATTTGGGTTTTCACAAAAGAGCGATGTCGCTGACACATCTTTGCTTCACGAAGCATCGACAGCCCCAGGTCTTGCCTGCTGCTCCCCTCCATATTTATGCAGCTCTCTGTTGCAGTGAGCACCTACCTTAAAAAAAGAAAAACAAAAGAGGCAATTTTCCAGCTCTTCCACTAATTCTTTCCCGATCCAGCTTCTGCTTTCCCGAGCACTCAGTGCTGCTCCCAGCTTGATGCTGGCTGAAGCACAGGAGGTGTCGCTTCCCCTTCTGCCTGTGGAAGCACCAAATTGAACTTGATGTGAGACTAAACCTGCTGGACCTTCAAATTAATTACGCTTCACAGGGTGGGATAATCACTGAAATTCATTCGAGACATTTTTCCTCTTGACCACCACAGGCTGGACAGGGCCTGTTACCCACAAAGTTTGTCCCAAGGATTAGATTAGCATTTTAGGGCATAGTTCCCCAAAATTCCCTATTTTTCTGCTACTTAGAGGCACTATTTTGCAAGAGATGATAGAGGAGCAACAGCCCACATCCCCTTGATGTTCTCAAGATGCTGCTACAGCTCCAAGACTTTATCAATGAACTCCCCTGTATCGGAGCGTGAGGTTCCTACAGGCACCCACCCCGCAGCACCCAGTGCCCCCTAACACCAGGAGCTCAGCTGAGTGCAGCTCAACTTTTTTAGCAAAGAGAAAGGATCTGAGCACGAGGTATTTCTGCCTCCTCAGCATTATCTCTAAATATCTTCATCTCAGAAGCGAATAAGCAACAATAAATATTATCTTAAGTCAGGGAGGTTGTTTACACCAACGTGCTAGACTTTGCAGGCTGAGTGCTCGCAGGGGACGTCAGCAGCTCGGTGGAGGGACAGTCCCCCTGCCAAGGTGCTGTGATTCCCTCTGCTCGATTTTCTGGCCACCTCCACAACATTGAGGGGTGCAGCTGGACCCAAAGGGCGTCTGAGCACGCAGCTAATTCACATTGTAGATAGGAAAAGCCTATACTGAAGATTTACTAATAGAAAGTCCAAAGTGCCCTCCCAGCAGGGGAGACTGTGCCCCCTCTCCCAGCAGGGAAATCTTCTTTCACGTTTAGTACTTCTGGCATTCAATGCAAATCAAACCCCATGGAAAACTAGTTTTTCCTCGCTTTTTCCTTTGTTTCCTTCCCTCTCTCCTCTTCTTCCTCCCTGAAACTTCTTTTCCTCTCCTCCACAAACCAGCAGAAAGCTGGGTCTGTTGAGGAATTTCCTGCCTTGGTAGAAAATCTGCTAATCTACATGAGCAGAAAGTTTTACCACGTCTCCTTGCAAACCAAAAAGGAGAACTAAATGAAATCCCACGGGGATGCTCCGGCTACTTCAGTGTAACAAGGTTCAGAGTGAGCTGCTTGTTTCGCTTGCTGCATTGCCTGGTTTTAATCCAATTTCATTCGGGACACATAAAATAGCTGATTTTCCACCCTCTGGGAAGCGAAGGGCCCTGCCAGAACCAAGGGACACGCTGGTGGGTCCTGCGTTGCGTGCACACATCCCCCCAGGCCGTGCTCACTTCTTCGCTCACGCTTTTTTAGTGCTACCTTTTGTCATCTGCAGCATTTTTGATCATGTTAGTTGCAATCTCACCCGAGTCACTACAAACCAAGGGAGGATGCTGCGGCAGCGCAGTCCCCATTGGTGCCCTCAATCCCACTGTCCATGTCTCCAACAAAGATGTGGAACAGCACCAGTCTCCACAGTGACCATTGAGGGTCACCACTCATCGCTGGTTTCCACTCAGACATCACCGCAGCCTTGTGCTGGATCATGCCTGTTAGGAGGAAGATGTGGAGGACACATCTTCTCCAGAAAGCACAGATATTTTTCTTCCTTCC